CACTCCTGTCTTCCATATTGCCAGCTGTCTGATTAAAGGGCAACTTAAAGATTCAATTCCTGTCTCTATTGGTGTCCAGTGGTGACAGGTGACCCTAACACCTGTGTTCCAGTTTTAAGGAAAAAAATTTTTAGATCCCTTGGGATGTTTCCATCATTTCTCAAAATATTATTGACCATTTATATCACCAAATATCTTTGTGCCCACTTGAGTCAGTCTTAACCAAATTTCACTATCCCAGTTGTCCAACTGTAATTTGAACCATTGGACAGCTCATATTTATTTTTTAAGAGTCAAGATTACGTTATATGAGTGACTTAAATTCCCGCAAAAGATGGTAAGAGGATCTGATTTGGTTGAAATTGTCTTTTGACATCTCCAATCAGAGAGTGTGAAAAAATGCAGCAACAAGGCCAACGTAGGAATCTTTAATTTAGGAATTTTTAAATAGCAGGTAACCATGCCTTACAGCAATAATGACATAAAAGTAGCTCTATTCTCTGGAAGATCAGTAATGCAAGAGAGAAAATAAAATTATTAGTTAAGTACTGAGTTTATGATTTTACAAAAGAGCAACCAAAGCAGTGAACTTTCATTAGATATTTTGCAATCTTTATCTTTTAAAAATTAGTGAATTTTCTATTCAGAAACTCCACTCCCAAATGCAAAAAATTTAAGATAAATGAATTTATTATAACTTAAGACTCAGAATTTGAATAGTGTCTTAGCTATTTTGTAAAACATGACACATTTTGTGAAAACTATCTTAAGCCCTATTATCTGGTCTCTTAGCCTGGCAAATATACTCAATTTCAATTACTATTGCTACAGTTTGTCTCCTCTTTCCTGCTTCAAACACTTTTCCTTTTTCTTTTGCTCTGTCCTGAGAGTTCCTTCAACTCTGTAGTTTTTGTCTTCTGAAATTAGTTACACTGTGATATATGTCCAGAGCATTTCATCATCCAACTCCCCTACTCATTTCATTTCTTAATTATCCAGTCTAAAACCTTCACCTCAGTTTATATTGAGCATGTTAATAGGTTGGGGTATATGTGTGTATATGTATCTTTGTTTATAGTTCCATATACATATCATTTTTATGATCTGAAGATAAGTTGTTAAATAACTAGATAAAGAATATTCTGTTCTTTCTATAATCATTCTCTAGTAATGTTAATTTTCTCAGGTACAGATGCTTTAATCTTTACTTACTCGAATGCTAACCTAAGGAAACATAAAAAGAACTCCTTTGAGAAGTTAGGAGTTATTGATTGTATCTACCACTAGACAAATGTCTGAATGAAACATAAAACTATTAAAAAATGTGGAAACTACGTAGGTTTTTTCCTCATTAAGTTCACAAGTGTTGTCAATGAGTATGCCACTTTTGAGTTTATGTGATTCTTCAGGTACAGGGAAAAAATGAATGATGATGAAGGGAGAAAAGTACAAATTTGGATGACTACTCTGTTCTACTGGGTTTTTCTAAAAGGCCTCACCTGGACGTAGTCCTCTTCGTCTTCTCGTCTTCATGGCCATCTTCTTCCTACGTGATGACCCTAAGAGGCAACCTGTTCATCGTCACCTATCATACCTAGACTCTCATCTCCACACTCCCATGTACTTCTTCCTCTCAAGCCTCCCTTTTCTAGCTCTCTGCTACACCACCAGCTCTGCCCCTCAGTTACTGGCCAGCCTCGGCAGTCAGAGCCCATCCCCTATGCTGGCTGCATGACGCAAGTTTATTATTTCCTAGCGCTGGGGACCACAGAGTATACGCCACTGGCGGTGATGTCCGACGGCCACTGTGCGGCTCTGTGTGGACTCCGGCACTACACTGTCCCCGTGCACCCTCGTCTGTGCCTATCGCTGGCTGTGACTTCTTGGCTAAGTGACTTTATCAATTCAGCACACTTCCTTCTCCTTTACCTTCCAGGTCCCCCCATGTGGACACCATCAAGTACATCACCTCTTGTGAAATCCCAGCACTGCTGGGGCTGTCATAGCTTGATATCCAAGTGAATGAGCTGACTCTCAAGGTTATGAGCTCTGACTTTGTCCTCAGACTTCTCACTCTCTTCCATAGCTCCTGTGGTGCCATTGTGCAGCCTGTGCCAGGACAAAGTCGACAAGAGGCTTTCCAAAGGTCTTTGGGACATGTGGCATCCGCCTGTTGATTGTTCTTTTTTCATTCCAGCCATGTTCATCTGCCTCCAGCCACCATCAGAAGAATCTCAAGATCAAAACAAGTTCATTAAGTTCATTGCCTTCTTTTTTTTTTTTTTTTTAAAGATTTTATTTATTTGTGCTGTTAGGGTCTGAGAACTCGATTACTGCGAAAGACAGAGCATCACGCAAGAATGCAATTTGCAAAGTAGAGTTTATTGGGCTGGCTAGCCAGGGTCAAGCCGTTCCCTGCCGGACACGCAGGATTCAGGCAAGACCCAAAGGAAAGTGAGGGAATATATTGGCCTTGTTGGGGCCATTACATACGTCAGAGCCCGTGCAAATTCAGAGCCCACGCAGATTCAACTTAGCAAATGGATTCAAAGATTAACAGACATCACAGCCTGGGTCACAGTTCAACCACCCAATGACAGGTTTCCAGGAATGGATGTCTCATTTCCTGGTGCCTCAGATCCAATCAGCCTGGGCCACACCATTCCCATTATCCAATCAATTTTAAATGTACATTGTCCCTCTTCAACCTATCCTGCATTCCGGGGGTGGGGGGGTGGATGCTTGCCTGGGCTAGTCTAGTTTTGCTCAGGCCTGCATTACTTCCTCCATTCCTTCAATGCATACAGAACTGGGGTACAGGACAGAGGTTCAGGGGCGGCGTGAGGCTTCACCAGAGACAGAGTGGGGAGTAGAACAGGCAGATCTATGAAGTACACTGCTGAGGGGAGCAGCGGGCGGGTCAGGAGAGTTCTGTCGCACCATATGGTCACCTCTGGGGCAGGTGGGAATAGAACTCATGCGGAAGTGGCTTTAGATTCTCAGTGCAGTGCTTTAACCCGCTGCGCCACCAGGGAGGGCCTGCCTTCTTTTATACTGTTGTCACACCCAGCCTTAGCCTTCTATCTGCACCCTTAGAAAAAGACATATGAGGGGAAGTAAAAAGACTACTAGGGGCCCTCCCTGTGGTGGTGAAACTCTCTAGCCACTGCAGCACGTGTTCAATCCCCAGCCAGGGGCAGTGACCTCTCCTGTCCCACCTGCTACTCTATTCGGCAGTGTATTTCAATCTGCCTGTTTTTCTCCCCTTTCTTTCTCTCTGGCGAATCATCTCACCACCTCCCACCCCATACCTTTGGCCTGCATCCCAGTCCTTGTATGCACAAATAAATTAAAATCTTAAAAAAAAAAAAAAAAAGACTGTTAGGATGGGAGTGAATCAATATGCTTGTAACATTCAAAGTAAGATGGAGCCTTTCCTCACTCAGCCTGACTCTTTGTCAAAAACTCTTTGATTCAGTCATGCTGTCTGCATATATTCAGCTAATACTGAGGTCTCAGAGTTCTAACAGATGTGAATTGAGCAGTCTGCTTGAAAACTAGTCTTTCTCTAATAAAGAAAGCAGACACGTAAAATCAAAGTCAAACATCCATACAGAAATTTTCATTGTCACAAACTTAGATTTTTTTACTTGACTTAGTATTTTTTTTTACTTCACAATATTTACTTTGTAAATATTGAAAAATAACAGGAGGTGCAATTCCTATGGAAAGAAGATTTTTTCATTAAAACATTTAAAATCTGTCTTTTTAATTTATTGCTTTTAAGGTAGAATTTGTCATGCATTTTTTTCTTTTTTCTTTATTTAAATGACCCAGTTAAAATACATTCAATATTTTTTCAGTAATGTTATTCTTTATTAGAATAGTACTTCATATTGGAAGAATTTTGGCTTGTATTCCTAGAAAATAACTTTTATGACTTGTAGCAAGACAACTTCTGAAGTATGCAACTAAAGTAAGATCTCATATTTCTCTTTTTTCTCATGGCAGTGAATATTTAGGAAGTGAAAAAACTTTTAAAACTGACACACCTCTTTGTGAAGAATGGTTATCACAGGTTAAGAAGTTAGATGGAATAACAGACTGGGCACTTGTATAACATAAGGGTCAATAAAGAGTGAGGCAGGCAGCATACTAGGTCATGAAAGGGACTTGAAGGCAATGAGCATTTGAAAGAATAATTGAAAATATATTGGAAAATTTTGTGATAAATTTTGTATGGGAAATGTTAACTTTTTCTTTTTTAGGCTTGGTCTAAATTGATCAGTGATTAGTAAGTAATATAAAAAAAACAACACACATTTTAAAATAAAGTAATGTATTTCTTTTAAATGTGGATATGATCGATGAGTAAAGTAAGAAGTGAAGATTTTACCTCCTAAAATTTAGCGGTGTCCTATTTTTTTTCATTATTAGTACTAATGAGCTAATGCTGATTAATTTTCAGGATCTAAAGTAGTTAAATATTGCTTGCACATAATAAAAATGTTTTGTGTACTTGGTTCCAATGAATTGTTTGCATCCAAACCCTTGAAATATAGAGTGAAATGTTAGCAAGGGTGAGGTATATATACTCTCACTCATTCCTGAGAAAAGAATAAATTTGTACCTCCCTTCTTAGAGAATTAGGAATTTAGAATACCTATGCTGCTTGATCTAGTCATTCTACTTTTGGGAAAATCTTTCAAATACAGATACAAATCTTTATATATAAAAGTGTCCACCAACACATTTTTATAGTAACAAAGTAATTGTAAACAATCTAAATGAAAGCTTCAGAGAATGGTTAAATAAAATTACAGTATATACAAAAATAAGCAATTAGAGGGTCCATGGTGAATGAAGGGCAGAGGAATGACTGGGGAGGGAAAGCTGGGAAGGGGCCTCGGGTCCAGCCTCGGAGAAGTGGGGAGGTGCGCCGCTTGGTGGCAGTGCCGGGTAATGCGGGCACAGCGGAGAATGCAGATGGGCGGACCGGGTAAGGACGCCGCAGCGGTAAAGCGCAGAGCTCGGAGCCAATCGCCACACCCGTTCTATCGTAATCCAGGTGAGGGACCGGGTTTATTAAATCATCTGTGGTCACTGTTAAATGATCCTGATCACGTTTGTAAAACCAAATAGATGTATTTTGCCATTCTAGGGGCTTCCTGGAACTTCCATTAACACCATTTTTGGAGAGGACGTGAGATATTTGCCCCCATTTCACTACAAATTTCCAAACCTCCTGGCTGCCGGGTGGGCGTGGTCACCTAGAGCGTGTGGCTGGGCGGGGGGATCCCGTCCCGCCCACCCAAACCTGCCTGGAGCCCCCGCGCAGCCCCTGGGGTCGCGCATGCGCGCAGCCCTGCCGCTGCACCTTGCTGAGGCGGCTGGCTTCCCCCGCTCCCCCGCGGACTGGATGCCCGCTGGGGGCCCGACCCCTTCTGTGGCCGGGAGGCGCTTTAATCCCGGGACCTTCTTGGGCCGAGAGAAACACGGTGAGCCAAAGGCGAGGGACCCTGTGGGTGGCTGACTGCAGAGGGGGGTCCTCTCGGAGGGCGCAGGGCAGG